GCTTAGGCAGCTGTTACTGAACTCCAATTCCCAGCAACCCCACCTAGAATGTCCAATGGTGAGCGAGGCTGGGAGTTGTAGTTCAGCAATATCTGGAGGGCCACAGTTCCCTCCCCACACACACCCTATCTTCTACCTGGCCTTTCTCTCTCTGTCGATCTCTGTTTCTGTCTCCTTTTCCTCTGTAGTTTCCTTATCTTGGTTTTGATACTGTACGCTCTTCCCGGCGGGGACCGGTAAACTTTTTCTTCCGTTAAATACCTTGCATCGTTATCCGGAAATAATCATTCTCAAAATATAGCATATACATAGTTTTCATAGATACGTATACGCATACTGTACCCATATATTCACTTTTTAGCTGAGATTAAAGGCTCCACCCCGCACTCCACCCTCTGGATGAGATCCCTAGTTTCAATGAGTCAACTCAAAGATGATCTGCAGGCGTTGGAGGTTTTTAATCGGGCAAAACGAGGAGCAGAACTGGTCCCCCAGACGGAGCCTTTCTTAACCCTACTTTCCCATCCCTATCCGCCGCTTTCTTTGCTTTTATTTCGCCTTCTTGTATAAAAATCCGGACTGGACCTTAAGGAAGATTGAACTCTGCTTTCTCACTCAACTCTGTCCAAATGTAGGGATTTCATTTGGGATTTCAGAGTCTGGGTGCCCACCCTGCAGGGGAAGAGAAATGCAAAACGCTGTCCGAGGTGCTGAACCACGGGGTGCCTCTGTGCCTGTCTGTCCGCCATACCGGAGAGGCCCACGAGGTTGTTGTTTTTTTCTCTCATTCCCCCCCCCCACCCAAACCTTTCTTCACACACATATACATATAAACATACAGAGCAAACAAATGGTATACACTGAAAAACAGGGAACGAGTGTGTTGGGGTGTGCCTGTGTACACGCACACAACGTGGAAAAACATTGGAAGCCAAAGGTGTCCCCACGTGCCCGCGTGCGCCTTTGCCCATCCTGGTTCAGGGATAGTTCGCTTCGATTTGGCCGCGTCCCTTCTGCAGAGCCCACCTCCCCGCCGCCTGTTTTCCCGCCGCGGCAAGGGCCTCTCCGAAAAGGCAGCCAAGCTCCAAGGGAAACGAGTTGGCTCTGGCCCAGACGCCGGTCTTTTTCCCTCCCTTTAATCGGATTAGCTGGGAAAGCAAGACCCGCCGCATTCCACCCGCGCTGCCACTCACAACCCCGCTTCCTGACCTGACCCAAAGCCGGCAGCTCCACCGGCTTGCAGAGAGAGCAACCCGCAAATAGACCGAGGCTGCTATTTCCCCCGGATGGGCCCCCTCGTTTCTTTTGCCTGTCCCCCACCCCACCCCCCACGAAGGCCAACTAGGCCCTTTGCCTGATCCGAAAGGAGTGTGACCAGGCATAGAGGGCGTCTCGCGGAGGGCTGTGCTGGGAGATTCCGGAGCGTCGGGCCTGGTTAACCTTGGATGGGAGGCCACCAGGGAATCTCACGACTGTAGATTGCAATGGGCGGGGGAGGGGGGGGACATAAGGAAAGAAAACAGCGCAAGCCTTTTTTGTAACGTACAAAGAAAACTGCCCGGTGGTGTCTGTGCAATCGAGTTTCTTTCTTTGGATGCCTATGAAAATCCGGAGAAAGATCAATCTGGTGCCTCGTTGTCATCGTCCTCGTTGTTGTTGTTGTTGTTTTAAAGGCAGGATTTTAAGTGGAAGTGCTTCCCCATCCTCCAGCCATTTTGAAATGCCATTTCCTTGCCTGACAATTAAAGTCACCTCTCTTTTATTCCTTTTTTTTCCTCCATGCATGGTTGCCGTGTTGAAGAAGGGTGTGTTTTATATTGATCGTGCGTGTGTGTGTGTGTGTGTGTGTGTGTGTGTGTGTGTGTTTAAAATATTGTTGAGTGAATACATATATGAAATCAACAAACCAGGAGGCCTCTCTGTTCCTGATTATGGATTCTCAAAAGTTTTCCGCAATATATATATACTTTAAAAAATGGTAGCCTCCTTCGGGAATTGATCGCAGGACCTAAATCGCCTTCAAAGGCTGCCCTGCAAGAGGTTGGAAGCGCCAGACCGCGCAGAGAAACGAAATCTTCGCTGGGGCTTTCCTTGCTTCGGGACGAGGGCTTGAGGCTTGATCCCCGGATAGAAAAAGAGATTTGCGAATCAAAAATGAGGTGACCTGCCTCTCTACTCCATCTCAAACTCGCCCTATCGTCCTATCTAAGCCGGCCTCTTTTCAAAGAGAGAGGAGTGGCCGGGATCTGTCCAAGCAACGCTCTCCTTTGCAGGCCGAAAGTGGCCGCGGAGACCTTGAATTTCCTTCCGTGTTTATACCGGTGTGTATGTGTGTGTGTGTGTGTGCGTGCGTGTGTGTGTGTGTGTGTGTGTAGAAACTGCCGGGGCCCCACGACAAGTGGGCAGGAGGAAACCCTTCAGCGGCCCCGCTTGCCTGCCTGTCTTGGGTCGGTTCAGAAAGCCAGAATGGGCCAAGGGAACCAGCAGAAGCGGGTCGCCTGGCTGGTGGCAGCCTCAGTCCGCCTTCCAGGTGGGTCCCAAGATATGTTGTTCGCTCGACCAGACCAGCTCATCGGGCAAACTCAGGACTGAGGACCCCTTGATTTCAATTCCACACGCAAAAGATGGTATTAATAATAATGAGTTCGTTCCTTTTTGGAAGAACAATTGTTTTCGATGTAATTCTGAAATTATTTTTGATAGTCATAACAATTGTTCTTCTGAAAAGAACCAAACCGACTATCTTTTTCAATGTAAAAATAAATAGACTACTATTATATATATATATATAAATTATAATATATATATATATATATATATATATATATATATATATATATATATATATATATATATATATATATATATATATAAAAATCCTAAATTAAAACATCCTACCATTGGAGAAGTATGTTGCTGCTGTTTTTTTTAAAAAAAACAACAACAACCCAAATAGTCTTAAATATTAAGAAATGCTTCTTAAGAGATGAAATGGATTGTTTTCCTTTTCCTCTACTGGAAAAGTCGAATCAAACGGGAAGAAAAGGACTGGAGGAAGGAAGGGAAGAAAGGAAGGACGAAGGCTCCGTTGTACTGCAGCCTTTTCTGTGCAACAAACCCAATAAACTCCACAGGTCTGTTTGCATTTTACTGTTGCCACTTAAATTATTCAGTGTGTTGCGGTAATTGAATCCTAAGCTTTAAAAACTAATATACTCCCTCCTTGTCACCGCTTTCTGAATCACGAAATCCGCCCTAACAGGTGCTGATCAAATACTATTACATTCTATTAAAAAGAAAATTCTATTCCCTGTTTTCATTTCCCTTTATAAAGGGGGAACTAAGTAAATGCATTTGAACGTTATTTAATTTTTAACGCTTTTAGTCCAATTTGGACGTTAGGGAGCGTCTCCAAACTCACAAAACCCGGGCAGCGTGGCAATAAATTGGGCTGACATAAATTAATCCAAAACGGAATCTCTTCTTAGGGTGCTCCCTTTTTTTCCCTCCCCCAGCTTTTGCAATCGAGGGGCTGACCCAAGCAAATGCCAGCTAGCCTCACCGAGGGAGAAGCGAACCTTTCTTTTAAAGGGGCAGAAAGAATTAGGAATAACAACAACAACAACAACAACAACAGAAAACCAATACCCTGACGAGCGAGTCGGTTTAATGAAAGCAGATTAAAAATACAGAGCATCCAGGAAATGGCATGTTTGTTTTCTATGAAGGCCGATCTAAGCTACTCTAAGATCAAGTATTTGGTAATGTCTTTTGGGGGGGGGGAATGGAAAGGGGTCAGACCTCTTCCCTGTTTCTTCAGGAAAACGATCACAATTGTTATAGACCGTTATAATTTGTTGGATACTTTGGGTATCTGCATACATGCACCCGCACTTATGAACATCTGTATATGTATGTTTTCCAGCACACCCTGTGTAACTGTAGAAAACCCTAATTCTAAAGTCAATTCCCATTATCAAATGCAATCTACGGTTGGAAACTAATACCCGCTTGCCAGACCATCCCAGGCAGGTTTTCTCAGAAATTCCCAGCCCTGGAAAGTCGTGTTAGGCTTTGTCGTTTTAAGACGGGCCAAAAAAAAAAAAAAAACCAAACACACACACACAGGAAAGCGCAAAGGACATTGTGTGTGTGTGCGCGTGTGTAGAAGAAGGAGAAAGTTGGATTTCAAATCAGACTCTTGCTTTTTCATTCCAGCACCACCACCAGCAGGGAATGTCTTCCAAGGGGAACTGGACCGTTCCAAAATCGGGTGGAGCGTCCCAAGTCATTTGCTTCAACTTGGTGCCTTCGGCCGGCCTTCCTTTCCGCACAATGTGTTTATAAACAAAGAATGCTAAGATAGATTTAGGTGGATCCCCAATTAATACCCCCTGCGGTGGGTAGCTCGGAGGGTGGGGGGGGGAGGCGAGGCTCAACATCTCCAGCCTGGAATTCTGCTCAACTCCCCTCTTGGTTAATGATTCTGGAGAGTGGAAGGGAGGGAGCAGCTCGCCTCGTAATTGCAAAGGTTTGTTCAATTTCATCTGGCTAATTTCGAAAGACAACCATCGCAGATGCGCATTGCAATATCCGCCCCACATTAGCTTAGCTAATAAATTTGACCTATTGTGCGTTTGTTAAAATGATGTCACCATGGAACAGTCCCTAAGCTCCTATTCCAATGAATTAGGCCTTTATTGAAACCCGGGAGCCAATGGGAGGAGAGAGGCTTGTTTGTTGTGGCCAATGGCAGCTGTCGGAGAGAAATTAGAAGCAGAAACTCAAGGTTTGGTTCAAAAAAGATGACACAGAGCCTGTCGGGCTGGACCACTCTTGGCAAAGTTTCAGTGTGACATCTATACAAACCAGGACCTTACATGGATCTACTGTAAAAAGGAAGGGAGCGTTTTTATAGGGGAAATCTTGCCGGGGTGTTTTTTTTTCTCTCTCTCTCCCCTCTCCCCCCTCGGTTGAGCCAATATTTCTATTCACCAAGGATGGATCAGCCAACGAACACGCAGACACCGCATCAACACGAACCCATCAGCTTCGGGATTGATCAGATTTTAAATAGTTCTGATCAGGAGACCCCTTCCCAGCCCGCCCCCCGAGGATCAGACGGCGGCGGCACCAATTACCTGGGCAGCCCCGTGAGCAGCAGAAGCAGCGCCCCGTACCCTTCCCTCCCCGGCGCCTTTGCTGGCATCGGGGCTCCCTTCGAAGACTCTGGATCTTACAGTGTGAACCTCAGCTTGGCTCCATCTGGCGTGATCCGGGTGCCAGCGCACAGACCCATCCCTGGGGCAGTGCCACCTCCAATTTCTAGCGCCATTCCAGCCATGCCAGCTGTACCCAGCCTTGGCAGCCTCAACTTCCCTTGGATGGAGAGTAGCAGGCGGTTCGTCAAAGACAGATTCACAGGTAAGCGGCGGCGGCGGCCGGGCTGGCGAGCGCTCTCCGATAGAGACGGCCGGCCGGTGAGGTTGGGTCTCCTGAGCCGGATGTGTGCGAGAAATTGGCTCGGCTTCATCGCATTCTTTCTCCAGCGGAGAAAAGAGCGAACGGTGTTTAAAAAGGCGAAACAATATAGGCGTGCGATGATGCTACGGTAGGAAAATTGGCCGACCGGCCATCCTGCCGGCTTTCCTATTTTTATTTTATTTTATTTTATTTTATTTTATTTCCCCCTGGCAGACCTGCTTAGCATATCCAGGCGTGAAAGGGTGATACAGGGTCTATTTGGGTGGTCCTTCCAGAGAGATCGAACGATCTTCCTTTCCCTCTCTCCCCCTCTTAAACCGAGGCGATCAAGGGAGGAAAAATCTTTAATCCGGCCGTTCTCGGAATAAGAAAACCTCGAGACGGCGGGTGAATTGAAATCGCGGCGTGCGGAAGTGCAAAGGAAGGCGAGTAAATAAATGGCCGTGTCTAATCCGATTACAGTCTTAGTGCGAGAGATGGAAGAGGACGATAAAGAGAACAAAAGAAATTTAGGGAGGTTTAAGTGCTTCCAATGAAAACGGGATTAAGCCAATTAGGGCGAGGCAAGCAGAGGGTTAAGCGGGGTAAGGTTAGTTTTACCTTGCAAAAGCGGCTAATCAAACGCCAAGTTGCGAGTGTGCTGTGTCACTTCAACACAATTTATATTTGTGAGTAAAAAAAGGGAGAGACGTTTCCAGCGGGTGCCTAAAAGTTACTATCGGTAACTTTCATGGTGTGTATTTTTTTCTCAGGAAGAAAATAGACGGGAAATCCCTAAATACTTATTTATGATTATTACTCAGAAGAAAGGTGTACAGTAGCTGGGGTAGATTTGTAGACACGTTTAGAATTACCGGGTCGGTTTTTCGCTGCAGGGCCAACTGTTTTCTTTCCTCGGCAATGTACTTTACATTCCGAGGAGGGGGTGGGACCCCAGAAAACAAACGAAACCAGAACAAAGCAGGCAAAAGGCGACAGGGTGGCCTCCTTTCCCCCTTCCGGAGGCCGGTGAGAGGCACTTTTCCGTCTCCAGGTGGCCCCTCGGCCTTTCCCATTGCCCCAAACTCGACGTTTGGCTTTGCCCTTTGAGCTACAGATCACCGCTCCTTTTATTTTTCTTCCCAAAACGGATTTCTTTTTCTTTTCATATTCCCCTCCCCACGGTTCTTCTGCGGCACAGCCTCCAGGATTAGACACCCCCCCATCCCCCCATGCACACCTTCTTCCATATTGTAGGTTTTTAATCGATCCGGAATTGCTTCGCTTCCCTCCCCACAGCAACGCCAGCAGGGGCTGACACGAGGGGCGGGACGAGCCACCCCTTTGCGCCCCCCCAGCATCCGAGCACATGGGGCCGGTGAGGGCGGGCGGGAGAGGACCGTCACCTGCCCCCAAGCATCCAGCCCCCCCCCCCAGCCCAGCCCAAGACTCTGGCCGGGGGCGCTGAGGTCTGTGGGGCTTTCTCAGAGGTTGCCCCGGGTCGCTCTCCGGGTCCACGCCTCGCCAGGAGAAAGCAGCCAGCGACCCCGCCGCCCCAGCGGCTAAACAGGGTTAAGGGGCCCGCTTAGCCCCCCTCCCCCCCATCGCGGCCCCCGTCGGTTCTCGGCTCCCTTGGCTGACTCGCTCCCGCTTTCTGTCGCAGCGGCGGCGGCGCTCACGCCCTTCACGGTGACGCGGAGGATCGGGCATCCCTACCAGAACCGCACTCCGCCCAAGCGCAAGAAGCCGCGCACCTCCTTCTCGCGGGTGCAGATCTGCGAGCTGGAAAAGCGTTTCCACCGGCAGAAGTACCTGGCCTCGGCCGAGAGGGCGGCGCTCGCCAAGTCGCTCAAGATGACCGACGCCCAAGTCAAGACCTGGTTTCAGAACCGCAGGACCAAGTGGCGGTGAGTCCCCCCGCGGACGCGCGGCTGGGTCTGGGAGGGGGGGGGGAGAGGAGGTCTACCGGGCGGGGGTCGCTGAGCAGGGGAAGCGGGTCGGCCTTGGTCGGGGTTCCTCCTCCTTTCCCCTCCCTTCGCAATCCTTGCGGGGCGCCGTGTAGACGCGAAACAAGGCCCGCAACCTTTGGTGAACTCTTTAGGCCTGGCCCAGTGTGGCCACTCTTTAGGTCAACCCGCTTGGGAACCGGGATTTTCCTCCTACTCCTCCTCCTCTCTTCCTCTGTTCCTCCTCCTTTCTTCCTCCTCTTTGCATTGGACCCTCGGAGCGCAGCGGCCTAAAACCCGGCTTGGCCGGAAGGAGGCCTGGCAGACGCTGAGCAAAGGACCGCTTCGGTACAACGACCGCTAAACAACGACCGCCTGGGGTCTTTGGGGCTAGAGGCGGACGATCCCAGGCACCCGGGAGAACTTCAATATAAACCACATTCACCGAAACCATGGCTTACCGCGCCGAGTCCGCGAGTCACGGACAAATTCTCTTAGGGTACCCACAAGCCAGGTGCCCGGAATCCCCAAGGCCCGTCCCGCCGCTTTCTTTCCTCGCGGGGGTGTTGAGGAAGTCTTTAAAAGAAAAACGCCCCGGGAAGAGGCTTCTGGAAACCGGGGCAAGGCTGAGCCAAGAACGGGCGCGGGAGTTTGCGAGCCCAGATGCGGGTTGGCCCCGTCTGCGGGCCCAAGAGGCGCAGAGGGGGACCGAGGCTCCCACCGATAAACCGGCTCCTCAAGCGCAGGGCGTTTAATGCCAGGTTGCCCTCCCGGGTTAGGGTTGGTTTTTCAAGGCTCGGAGAGGCTCGGAAGGGGACGTTAAAGCAGGACGAGCGAGAAGAAGGCGTTCACACGTGATGCTCAGTGCAGTGATTGAATCTGACCCGTACAATTTCACCGTAGGAAAGTTATCCAGTGTTAACCCACCGACCGAGCTTGGCAAACGGGGCGGATGGCGGTAGCGGGGTCCGGAGCCGCTTCGGTGGAGCGCGCAGCGTCGAGGCTAAACGGAGATCAGCGAGCCTAGCCGACGCCCAATTGTCAACTCCCGGCTGAGAACGGACCTTCCCTAACGTTTAGCGGGCCTCTCCTGAATCTCGAGGCAGAACTAGAGCTGCCGTTGTCCGTTTTATGGGCCCGGAAGCCTGGCTGCCGTGGGGGCGCTGGGAGGCTGGGGTCACGAGGCCCGCGCGTCCCGTGGAAAGCGGGGGAAAGGACCCGGCTGTCTCCCCTGCCAAGCCGGGACCAGCTCCGGCTTCTCGCAGGGCCTGCCCCCGAAGGTCTTCCTGACTTGATCCGGCTCCCTCGGTTCTTCTCCGCGGCCTCCAGCGAGCGTGGATCGGAGAACGCGGAAGCCGCGCGAATGACACGCGTGGCGAGGGGAGCGGCGTTCCTGTCCACCCACCGTTGTTTTCAACCAAAGGCAAAGCAGGGGGAGGCAAGGCCGGCCCCTACCCGACCCAGCCTTGCCAATTCCCAGATGGCCGATCCCCAGCTTGACGGTGTTAACAACAACAACAACAACAACAACAACCTGCAACGGTATCTTTAACACCATTAAACAACCAACACCCGCCTATCTCGGGTTATCGGGAAAGACTCGCTAGGTGGATAAAAATGCCAAAGCCGGTTGAAATATCCGGCTTGACTGAGCGACGGACCCGTTGTAACAATTTAAATGTAATTTATCTGCCGCCCGACTCGCAGCGACTTTGGCCCAGCGACTTCCCCAAACCCATGAAAACGTTAGAGCGACGTCTTCGGCTATTGGTCCTGGGCTGGAAGGTACCGGAATGGAGTTGAACAATATCTTTTCCCGAGGTTTCAGCAAGTCCAGTCCCAGGCGAAACCCGCGGAATTCACGATTTCGCGGCCTTTGACTTCGTGGGCTCAGATCTCCAAAGCGGTGTCTCCAGAGCAAGAGGGGCCCCCAGTCTACAGGGAGTGGAGGTGGTCTGGATCCATCCCCCCCCCCAATGGTCCTTTTGCCGAGTTTGCTGCGTGGTCTCCGCAAACAGCAAGTCTCCGCTCCAGCTGCAAAGCCGCCGTCGCCGTTTCTGTTTTGTTTTGTACTACAAAATAGGCTAAATAGGCTGCCGTGGAAATAGCAGCTGATAGGGAAAGTCCTTTCCGTGTTTCGGCTGAAATCTCGGTTGAAGTTAAAACCCAAGACGCCAAAGAAGGATAAAACGGGCGGGTGCGAATTATTGTTGTTGTATAATTGTATTAAAATACTAATGTTACAATATTGTCACTCTCCCCTTATGCTGATATTTCCTTTCATAATAAAGTAAATGCTAACGCTGTTAAGCTCTACTTAATGCGGTTTGCGATATACTTAACGCCTCGTTTCTTTCGATGCCTGTTTTAAATTGACCTACCCCAATTCCCCGGCCCAATTCTCCGGACAAAGTCCGGGAGGCCCGAGGCCTGAATGGGCCTGAGCCACTGAGACTTTGCGGGGACGGCCCGGGGTGGGGCTGTCTTTCTACTCAGAACCTGCTGGTCGGATCCCAGCTGTTAAAATCCACTTCGCGGGGTTTCCACAGAATCCACTTCTTAGCTTCCGGAGTTTTTCTTTGTTTTTCTTTTCCAATATTTTTGATTTTGTTTTTTCCTCCACCTGCTGTATGCTGGGTTTTTTTTTTAAATTTTTTCCCCCTGTTCTGAAATTGCTTGTCTTCTTGCAGACGTTGCATTACCAGACTAGGGAACGCCATCAGTGCTCTCCCCTGAGCAGTGGGGTTGATGGTGGCTGCTTATACGTAGCGGTTTTTTCCTTCAAGTTTCGCGGCAGGATATTCTCTGGATATCCACGCCCGTGAGGCGTGCGTGTGTGCATTTTATTCGATTTATAAAGCCGTCTACTCGCAATGCGTTTGTGGGCCCATATCGGTTTCACCAACTCACAGAATCCGAGGCCCATTTTAGTTCGGCTTAAGCAGTTGGCAGGCTTCAGGCTCGGAAGTATAGCGATGATGGGTGTTCCGTGCGTGTATCTGTAGTGCCAGGAAAGGGGCCCTTCGCTCAGAAAAAGTGCAAGGCGCTCCAAGATGGAAGGCCGGGCCAGGAAAGGAAGGAGCCGCAAATCAGGCGGGCCTTCCTCCCACCGCCGTCGGAACTCGACCCGAAAAATGGGCGTTAGCAGCCAGGGCCCAATTCTCCCCTACCTACCAGGGGAGAATTAATGACAGGGACTCGTTTATGACTTTTGAGAAATAGGGGAGAAGAAGCATTCAGATAACACTTGGTTCCCGCATCGTTTGTCAGCAACCGTTCTCACGACCGGTCAAATCCTCTTTGCGAGTCTCCGTTCAGGTTTCAAGAAAGTTGCGGGGGGGGGGGAATGGTCGATCGCTTGCTGGCCTGGTTGAGAATCGGAAAAAAAAAAAAAACGCGTTCTGTCTCGAAAACTGGTTTGCCCGCCTCCCACTTTCGGTGGTTCTCTTTTCCGACTTGGTTGTCTTCTGCGTAACCCTCGTTTCATTTTGGTCCAGCTTCTGGTCTACCTTTGGAAAAAATCTGCTTTGCCCTCCGGTTTAATTTTTGGCAGAGGTAGGCGTTTTTTTTTTTTTTGAGGCGAATTTGGCCAGGCTGGCGCAACGGTGGGGAGGAGGCTAAAAACGGAGGGAAAGCGGATCGGGGGGGCTGCGAGTCTCCAGGGAACCCCGAAGTCGCTTTGCCCTCCTCCTCCTCGCCCAGCGCGAACAGCAACTGTGCCTAGCAAAGGGAGCAGCCCATCTCCAAGTAAATATACACGCTTGCTCGTCTTGCATGACCCCGATCCTCAAATCGCTTTGTCTCTGATGGCAGAAAAATGGTTTTGGTTTTTGTATTATTATTATTATTATTATTATTATTATTATTATTATTATTATTATTATTATTATTATTATTATTATTATTATTATTATTATTATTGTCATCATCATCATTATTATCTCGCCTTTCTGAGCCCTGTGAGGAAACAAGGCGAATACGATGCAGCAGCGTTCCCATAAAATTCCAGCTCCTATGTGCAGTCCCAGTCTTCGTTGTTTTGATCCGGGACGGAACTTTGCTCGGAGCTGACAGCCGGTTCTGGGGGCGGGGGGGGGGGCAGGAGGCTTTTAACGCTGGATTCGAAAACCGCCTTTTTGTCTTCATTTTCCTATGTATTTATGTACGTACACAAACAAACACACAGGCTTAAGTGTGCGTCGCACGACGGACAACAATTAAAACGCGATCAAATGAACAAGGGATCGAAGAAAGCAATTGCCTTTCCCTGCCCCCCCCTCCTAATCCATCCTCTTGATTGGATGCTCTGATTTTAAAACCCTACGCCATTCGTCTGGGGCGCCGTGCCTCAGTTTCCCCTCCCGGAATTTCCCTGGGAAATATTCTGGGAAAGGGAGGCACTTCCGAGGTACAAAAACCTGGGGAATCCAGACTCTGCTAAAAGAAATTTTTTAAGTGGGGGAAAGAAGATTGTTAGATTTTGATTTCCATTTTTTTTCGGAGGGGGGGGGGAAGACAAGATCGGCTTGGGAGGGAGGGTCAACGCACCAACCACGAAACCTCACAAAGAAGGGTAGCGAACGATCTCCGCAGCCGCGACGTTTGGGGTTCTCGGTCGCTTCTGCAGCGGAAGAGCCCTTGGTCACTTTTGAAGGTTTTATGGGCCAGGAATAAAATACTCCCTATTTCGGAAAGAGAGTGAGAGAGAGAGAGAGAAAAAAAAACCGGGGTTCGCACATAATAGCTTACTGAACTTTGGTTTATTGAAACCTCTTCTGATTATTCAGCTTAGTTTATTCAGTGCCCTTCTTTCGCACGGCACTCTCATCCATAAAATGCCTAAATTCTCCGGGCTGGTTTGATACGACCGCAGCCGAAGCCAACAAACCGCTCCTGACAATGCTTAACCGGGCGGTGCTTTCATCAACCTTAATCGCCTTGAACTATAAATCCTCGCCTAGGCCGGATTGGCATAAAATGCAAAAAAAAAAAAAAAAAAAAGTAAATCCGGGCTCTCTTTCCAACCGTGCGAAAACGAGGGTCCCTGCGGCTTGTACCCCCTTTTTCGAGGATTCAGTCCCACAGATCTAATGAGAAGTCCTCGACCCCCTCCCGGTCGCCTCGGTGGCCTTCCCCCCTCCCCAGCCTCGGGAATTGGGGTTTGTGCGTGTATGTGTGTGGGTAACTTTCTCCTTCTACCCATCTTGAATTTTCCCCTTCTTCGGCTAGCCTCCTCCTCCTCTCTTCCTCCTCCTCCTCCTCCTCTCCTCCTCCTCCTCCGCGAATTTGACTGACCCATTGGAACTTCCCCAGACCCTCCTCCCTATTCTGGGTCCCACTGCTGGCTGGACCCTTTGATCTGATGGGTGCTGGGGGCGGAACGGGGGGGGCGCCAGTTGGAGACCGGGTCCAGGCAGGCAGGCAGGGAGGGAGGCAGGGCTGGAGGGCGCGGGGCCTCCGGGGCGGGAGAGCCTGATCCCTGTGCTTGGCTTCCGCAGGAGGCAGACGGCGGAGGAGCGGGAAGCCGAGCGGCAACAGGCGAGCCGGCTGATGTTGCAGCTCCAGCACGACGCCTTCCAGAAGTCGCTCAACGAGTCGATCCAGCCCGACCCGCTTTGCCTGCACAACTCCTCGCTCTTCGCGCTCCAGAACCTCCAGCCTTGGGAAGACGAGAGCGCCAAGATCCCCCCCGTCACTTCCTTGGTGTAAAGAGGGTCGTCCGGGCGGATGGGCCCCCCGGGGAGGAGAGACAGGCGGTCCGGCCTGCGCCTCTCCCTGCATGGCCCGAACCGCAACGGAACGTGTGAACGGGGGCGCCTCGAGGGAGGCCACAAGCCACGCCACGTCTCACACACGCGCGTCGTCTCGCTGCCCGGCCGGGCTCGGACCTGGGCAGAGCCGTCCCAGACGCGGTCGCCTGCCAGGATTGCCGGGCGTGAGGCGCTTCTCTCGGCCCGGGGCCTCCGCCCTCCGGCACTTTGGACGGAGCTCGGCCGCTGCGCTCCTTCCAGCTCCAGACTTCCCCGACGGCCAGAACGAACTTCTCCAAGGTTGGTGAAGGAAGGGAGCCGAGAGCGCCGCTTTACGCCCGACACCCCCCCCGTCGAGAAACTACTTGGCCGTCGGATCTTTGCCCCGGGCTGGGGAGGAGGCTTTGGGCTGCTCGAGAACAGGAAAGCGGAGACGCCTCGCTTCTTCTCTTCCTCCAGTTTGCTGGGGACAGGAAGTTAAATGTGTGTGTGGGGGAGACTTCCCTGCGAAGGATTTTGCGGGTGCCCCCGCCTCGCCTCGCCTGCCAGTCCTGTCGCTTATGGTCCGTTCGGGGGGAAAACTAAGAAGGAATAGAGAGTCACCTTTTTAAAATTATTGTTATTATTATTTGTAAGAAATGTTAATAGTTTAATTTATTTATCCACCAAGATGCCCGAGCACTGTTAATATGGAGGCAGGGGGAGAGAAAGGCTGGATCTTGGTTATTTATATGGAGGCCAGAACAAACAGGAAAAGGAAGTGTGTGTGCGTGAGTGCTCTGTATATGTGTATGCGCGTGCGTGCGTGCGTGCGTGCGTGGGGCACTTTTTGGCCAAGGCTGGCCTTTACCTTGGATGGTCAATCATCTTGACTATCCTGCCCTCTGGAAATCATTCTGCAAAGGAATATATATATATATATATATATATATTACATTAAGGACAACCTACTGCAGTGAAAAAGCAAGCCACCCCCAGCTGTCCCGCAGGCAAACCCTGTCAGTAATTTATTCAACATGGTAATAAGGGCTCCCCTTTCAAAGAAACCCCAGCCTCTCTGGCAGGAAAATGAACATTAATATGGAATGGGGTGGTTGAGGGGATGAAAGGGGGAAAGGAAGGAAGGAGGAAAGGGAAGAAGGAAGGAAGGAAAGGGAGAAAGGAAGGAAAAAAGGAAGGGAGGGGGGAAAAAAGAAAAGAAAATTGGTTTTAAAAGTATCCTTGGCATGCTACAATGCCCATTGTCCCAAACCTGTTACAAAGAAAGCGCCTTATGTTTCATAATACTACTAATAATTATACTGATAATTAAAATAAATACTAAGGAAAGCTGGGGTTGATCCAGACCATGTATAATACTTTGTACTTGCTGAAATGTGTAAATAAATGTTTTCTTTAAAAATGTTTCTGGTCTGAGCTGTTATGAATAAAGACCTGAGGAAGCTACATCTGAGGGCCTCCATAGGTTTTGGACTTGGACTCCCATCAGCCCCAGCCATCATGGCAAATAGCAAAGGACTATGGGAGGTGCCAGACCAAAATGTTTGGAGTACAGCCACTTCCCTTTCTTGCCAACCAGGGTCACTTTTTACCATTGGTGGTGATGGTCCCAGGTAATGGTAGCAGGAGTTCATCAATGCATAGAACACCTATCCTTGATTCTGCTGCAATTGGCAGCCACTATCCAGGCATGGTGGCAAGAACTTTTTCCATCACTTTCTACATGGCTTGTGCTTAGAGCAGGGGGTCCTCAAGCTTGGCCCTTTTGTGACTTGTGGACTTCAACTCCCAGAACAACTCCCAGAATTCCTCAGTCAGTGTGCCTGGCTGAGGAATTCTGGGAGTTGAAGTCCACAAGTCATAAAAGGGCCAAGTTTGAAGACTCCTGGCTTAGAGTGAACCTGGGACCTTACACATGCTATGGTCTCTATGTCTCAAGATTCCATTTGGTCATTCAGTCTACCTGATCAATCAAACAGCCTTTCTCATATTCTGTCAGCCGCTGGTGTCATTTTCCTAACTTCCCCATAGTGTTGGTGTTGAGTGTGGAGATATGGCTGAACAAAGAGGACTTGTATTTTGAAGGTGAGCTATGGGTGCTGTAGTAGAGTCCCAGGCAAAATAACATCAGAAGAAACTGATGGGATGTTCAGTTCTCATTGTGTCATCTGAACCTTCGACTGTAGAATCGCTGAATGAAAAGGGCCTTCATTTTCTACCCAACAACCTTGCTTGCGGCAACTAACAATCTTAGTATTACTGGGAAATGACCTAATGGCTGAGAATGGGTGAACTTTTCATTTTTACAGCCCTTGAAGGTGTCCCATGAAGCTCAATGTAGCTCTGGCTTCACAGCATCCCAGAATGATTGTAGGTCCTGATTAGTGTTTGTAGGTCCTGATTAGTGCTTCTCTTCTGGTTTCTTAGTAGTGAGGTCGACAGATTCAATTTGTCATATGACCAGAGCCCAAATCTTCTCTTCTTGAAAGGTATAAGAGCCCTCCTTTTTTCCCCCAACAGATGGACTATCATGCCCGAGGCAGTGAAATACAAGAACACTTGCCTCTTTAAAAAAAAGAAAGAAAGAAAGAAACAGTCTATGTATAAATTATTAATTCAGAATACAGGAAAAGAGGATGCACCAAATTAAGACTGGACTCTTTGTCTTAGCCTAATGACTGCTCTGTCTCTGGAGTTCATTCTTCAGCCCACAAGTAGGAGCATCACATGACTGAATGCCCCTTTTAAGTGTTTAAAGAACAAGCTTGTCCTGGAGAAGACTTAGCTGTGGTTTTTGCCTTTTCCTTTAATTTGGCTTCTCCAAAGGGCTCCAACAGGCCCAGCAGCAATCGTGGGGCTGCGTACGGGGGGGGGGGGGATGGAGAAAAGTGAGAAAGCTGACTTCAGCCAGGCTATAATGGTATCTGGGAAAGACTTTGGGAGACTTTTCAGGCTGTGAAAGGGAAGGCAGGAGACCTGCACTTTCAGACTTGCAAGAATCTATTGTGGTAGCCTTAAAATAAAGTAGAGTTAGCTCATCTGGTCAGGTTTCCTGTCTGGTTTGCCTGGGACAGGGGTCTTCAAACTCGGCCCTTTTATGACTCATGGACTTCAACTCCCAGAATTCCTCAGCCAGCATGGGTTGAGTTTGAAGACCCCTGGCCTGGGAAGTCTGACACATGCTGGACTATCAAGCAGGCATCTTGAGCCTTGGCTGGAGATGATGGAAGTGGAAGTCCAATGCAGTAAGAGGGATCGGCTTGATGGTATTGCCCATTGGTAGTAGGGGAGGAAGAAGAACGGGGGGGGGGGGCGAAACCTCCCGGCACATTAGATAAAAAAGGGAATTAGATAAAAGAAGGGACAGATATTTGAGGGGCTACTCCAAGAACATTTATTTTTGTGCCCTGAAGGAGATGACTCCTGGGACACCCCGGGCTTCTTTTCTTGGTGGCTAAAGCTCTGTGGTGCTGATTTCCGCCTAGGCCAGTGATGGCTAACCTTTTAGAGACTGAGTGCCCCAAAACCGCCCCCCCCCGTCCCCGCTCCACCTCCCGCCCTGCCTGCTCCACCATTCCGCCCCCCCTGCCCGACCTTCCCAGCCACACACCGCCTCCATGGCACTCTGATCGCCGAGGCAGCCCTGCAGTGCCATGGCAGCCACACCCTCTGCCCACACCCCGCAGCACCATCTCCACGCTATGGGTCACGAGGGCGGAGTCTTGTCCCTGCTGCCCGGCTATGTACTTTGCTGCGCTGCTCTCTGCAGGCTGTCCCTGGGGGTGACTCTCCTCCAGGGGGGCTGCTGGTGAGGAGGGGGCTGCAGGGGGAGGCAGGGCTGGGGTGACGGCACGCGTGCCCACAGAGAGGGCTCCGAGTGCCGCCTCTGGCATACGTGCCATAGGTTCGCTACCACTGGCCTAGGCTTCTCTGTGAGGGGAGAAAGTTCCCCTGAACCCTCTTCCATTTCTCTGAAAAGGCTGAGTAGCTCTTGCACCCAGTCTGCCAGTTTAATTTCTACAGGTGTGGGATTGCCGGCTGGTCACTCCTTGGCCCAGACTACAAACTCCAGTTTGTCCAATTCATTTTCTGTCTATGGCAGGCATAACAGCTCCCCCTTCTCACTAAGCTTCACTCATCTGTTCACCTATCCAGCTGCTAATGCACAAGAGACAGAAGGAAAAGGCATTTAATTTCTACTACCTGCTCCCCCCCCACTACTTTCTCCCCAGCTCCAACATGCAGAATATGGATTACTATGAAGCCATTGTCAGAAGCCCTGGGAGAGCATGCAATTTTCCCAAGACAACTAACGATTATGTGAAAGCCAAGCACCTGGAAAAATTACATTTCCCCCAAGTCCTGGTGCTAGAATGTAATTTTCTGGAGAAAGAAAGGGAGGGGAAGAAAATGGGATGACGCAGAAAAAGCAAAGGAATGCCAAAGCTCTTTGCCAGGGGCTTTAACATTATTCTGGGAGAACTAAGCATTTCATATAAGAGATGCCACCTCTGAGCAGATGTAGAGATCTTGGGAAACAAAGACACACCCAATATAATTGCTATCCCCTCTAAGCTTTCTGTGGGAAGACTTTGCTACACTTCAGTGAGGGGGAAATCTCATTTTTTCTCTCTCATTTTCCCTGGAGCAGCAAAAAGAGATACAGAGAGTGGCGAGAAGAAAAGTGGAGGAAAGGAGAAAATGAGAAGGATGGATATGAACAAAACCTGTGAAGATTGTACCCTTGTAAGTGTGTCCATGATCTGGAAAATATGGAGTATTTTTGACCTCTCTTTCCACAAAACACCCTTCCTATAATCTGGACAAATCTCTGGCAGCCATCTCTACATATTGTGAAAAAAGTCAGACATATCAAACATCTCTCTGTTGTTAAAGGAACAGGAGATTTATAAATAGAAGAACATAGGAGAGCTTCTCCAAATTGCTGGCTTCCGTATTGCATAAGCTGATATCTCTGCCTCAGCCACTGAATGATGAAAAATATAGTTCCATACATATGGAGGACATCAGGTTTAGGAAAAGCTAATGTAGTGCCTATTTTATTTTCTTTCTATTTCCTCACAAAACCTATGATGTCTTTTAAGAAACACCAGACTGTGTTGATCTTGAAGAACTGAGAAAGAAAAAGTTAGGGAACATCTACACAGAATAGAGGGATGATGTTTTCAAATGTCTCCCTTCTTGTCATCCCCATTTTCTATAGCAGAAATTAGGTCTTTCAAACTATAAAGGGGGCTTGCTTCTTAAGCATTTGTAAACCAAACATTTCCCCAGGTGCCTGGATTCCAGGCCTCTTGCAATAAACTGCATTTGTTTTGTTTCATTGATCACTGGATCTCTGCCATCAGATCCATCTCAGACAGGATGTTTCTCGCTGGAGAAAGTAATCTTTCAAACCAGATGTTTTAAAAAGATTTTGCCACAGACATGCTTCCTATTGCTGGCATCCATCAGAAAGGTAAAAGCTGCATATTGAAAACAAATTGAAGTGCAAACAAGGCCACATCATTCACTGCTGGATCAGATGTTGGGATTGTAATGTGGAAATCTGATCCAACACATCGAACGTGAGAAAGCTGGTGGAGGGCCCTTTTATTAGTCATTCTCTCTTTTCTGTCATTAGGAATTCCAGAAATTACATTAAAAAAGATTTTAGGCGAAGACACTCGACCCCCTTCCCATATTCCTTTACCCAGAATTCTCTGGGGAAGAAGCCATGATAGATGTAGGAACATCAAAACAATATATGTTTTCAGGGTCTGCATGGCCATAGAGACTTAATATATATGTGTGTTACATATGTGTTATGATCAAACAAGGGAGGATATATTTTACTATATTCTTGGCTGTTGAGGATTAAAACTTCTTCTGGTCTCAAATGATCACTTTATGCATTATTTGGGCAACAAATAATCTATTGGATTGGTGA